CAACTGAGTATCAAGAGGAAAATATAGAAAAAGTGACTGCTAATTAGCTACCAATAAGGGTATAGAAGAATCTTAGAATCTACAAATAATGAGCGTATGAGCGTTCACGTAGAGAGCTAGATTTTTCTTAATCCCTCACCCACGTCGAATGAATAACAATCTCTCTTATTCGACCACCGAGTAATTAATTAACATCAGTCATCTAGCTATGAGAAGCTCATTATTTGGTAAAATCTCTGATTACAAATTACAGCGATGTTCCTGTTTCCCTGTTTCTTATAACTGTTTCTCTTTTCAGTATTAGTTTCTGAGCCCTACCTGTTGCCTTTGAGAAAATGACCAGCATGATAAATCCGAAAATATGTCTTGTTAAGTCTTCCATATTAAGCTCAATTTTTGTCCTCTAAATATGGGAAATAAAACAAATTTACCACAGCTTAACCAAAAAATTAATCAAAGAAGATATAAAAATATATGTAGAGGCTGTTTGTCTCTCAAATTTCACAATGGCTGTTACAAAAATACGAAAAGATGACACCTTTCTGTTAACTGACGCTCAGAATATCCAACTGTTCAACTGCTCTGAAAACGTGGTATTCTTTTTCATCTTTTTCCGGAAGGAAAACGAGTTTGATAATAATTAAGTAAATAAGATTCTTTATTTAATAATGATGAGAGTGAAAACATCATTTCATGCTTGAGGGGTCTTGTGTAACTACTTGATACCTAAGTAACCTGCAAGTGAAAGTAGTTAAAATATATCAAATAAATAATCGAACTGTAAAGTAGATACATGACAATGCAAAATGTACTTATATAATTTAAGATAATTTAAAATTTTAAAATTAAAAATTCGCCACCGACTGTGCGTGGGTTGAGCTGGTAAATCTGATTTCCCTAAATGTGGGATTAGATTTCTCCTTTCCATATTCCAAAATACAGCGCCTCTATAACAAATTGACTTGATAACTTCCGCTCAAGTTTTTGAAACGGCTATCACTTCAGTCATACAGTGGTGTTTATTGGTCTTCTTGATCAGCTATAATGATTTTAATATTTGGTCGTTTCATTTGTTCGAGTCAGGAAATTAAAAAAAGAGAATGTAGTGAATCAACGCATGTGAGTATGAGAATTTGAACTTAGGATTTATATAAATGAAGATGAGAGAGATCATCACAGTTATGAACACAACAAAGCAGTAGCAGAGCACATCAGGGGACAGTGTAGTTCATCAAGTCAAGTTTACCAGATGCCTTGGTATTGAATCAGACAATGAACTTCATTGGAAGATTCACTTTGCCGAACGAATCTATTCTTGTCCCCGGAAACTGAAGGTTTTTGAGGTCATTCTTTTTTTACCTGCCATATCTCAAAATCATTGTCTCCTCTGTGACCGATATGTTAATCTTATTGAATACCTGTGACTAACCCTCTTGGACAAACTTGAAAAAATATTACGTAATCTTGTCAGTTACGTATATCATTAGTGTAATATGACTCGACTAGTCTGTCTCTCTCTGTCTCTGTCTCTCTCTGTCTCTCTCTCCCTCTGTCTCTCTCTCTCGCATGTATGTGATTATGGCGATTTCTTACTAACAAAAAGGTACACTTCAAAAAAAATGCATGACCGTGCCGTTAGGATAATTTACAAATTAGACTGGTATGAAAGGTGCCAGTTCATACCAACTGGTCTTGTTGTATGATTTGATCGATTTAAGATTGCTAATTTTGGCCCGTAAATGTTTTCATAGAACATAGCTACATTCTCTATCCAAAAATATTTGAAGAACTATATTTTTAAATACAATTTACGCGGGATACTGACCTTTGAGGCAACGCGTTCGAAAACAGGACTCCGTCGTAAATCTACTTGCTACAAATCAATAAGCTTTAATAACTTTCTGAATATGCAATCAATGGAGCTATATATCCAATACAAAGGAATTTAAGAATAAACTTATCATTTAGATTTCTGAAAAAGTTCAATTCCATTGTTTTAAGATGATTTTTTATTGTCTCAGTTTAGGATTATTGATGAATGTCTTAGGATTATTTGATTTTGAAAGGCTCTTGTAAATTTTATCCCTTCTATCTAGTTGTAGATGTCAACACGTTAAAAAACAAAAGATTCCACGCATACGCTTTAGAAACTTTGAGATTATCTGCTACTAATCCTGAACGATCCCAAGTTTTAGTCTCTGGCCTTCTTCTTAACGCTTTGGTAATATTATTTGCATCCTGTAACATTCTCTGAGTTTTTTAAAACTTCAGGAGTAGCTGCGGTCATATATGCTATGATCAAAAGAGAGCAAACCCAGGTACTGCGTAAGAGATGTACACTAAGCTTTATGAGATTCTGGGATACAGGTTTCTTCTTTGGTAAATTCAGCATTTTCTGTTAATTTCATTCCTTTTCTAATTTTTCTCTACTTTGTATTTGTAATCCATGTTATATAATGATAAATATGATAGATAATATAATGTTAGCAGCACGGCAATCGTTATAGCTCCTCCTGGTCTAAATTTTCTCAACCAGTGGATTAAAATTATAGTTGATGAATATTCTGAAATGAATATCCTGAAATAAATATACATAAATTTGTCTTCGCACTTGTTTCACCAGGTTCAGTTTGATTTTTTTTTCTAAAACGTTCCAACAACCTTCTAATTCTTAGTCCAGAAGACGCAGAAATTCTACCCAGCAAGACGGAGACATCACTGCACTGAAACTGCTCAAATTTTGGACCATACAATGTTATTATAATATATATATATATAATTAATCTCATCCTAAAGCTTAAAGTGTTATCTTGAATCTTTGCATGAATGTTAAATGATCTGGTTTATTGTTATCTTACACATAAGACTTGACTTCAAGATTTATATTCACTATTCATTTCCATAGCTTCCACGATTTTTGCGAGAAGGAAAGAGATTCAAAGACTTAGCTATTTCCCTCACTAATCTAATTTTCAGCAATCGGCTCTTAGTCAGCAAAAAGAGCTGTTCTTGGGAGGTGCTGCTGATTCTTCATGTCTAAAGGCCAAGCCATTTTCCTTGTAAACAAACTTGTTTTCGCATAACACTGTCTTGTGATGAGAGTTAATGGTAAAAGTGCTTCTTGTACAAAATATTCAGATTTATTTTCAGGAATCTTTTTTTTCGCGATGAAAAATTTCAAGTCTGAGTAGCTTTCGTCATTTTACTCGAATTTTAAAATTATATCTCCAATAATTGTTATCGTATGCGTTTCTGTTTTCGGCTTTTAGCTACTTAGTTTTTACTTACCTTCAGAATTAACAACCCACCTCTGCAAAGTGAAAAATTAAAGTGCTTCACACTTTTAAACTTAATTTTGTTTATTTGCTTCTCGGCTTCTCGGCTTCACTGCTCCAACAGAGAAATTGAAGTTGACTTTGAGCACGTAACCAGGATCTAACACACAAATTGTTATTGTGTGATGAATGGTTTCTAGCACACTGTTTTGCATGTTAATTAACGTTGTGTTCATTTAATGATATTTAATTAGGGAGGTTGTCAGTCATGCAGTTTTTAGTAAAAGAATTTACTCGGACTGTTAGTTTCACTTATGAAGACTTATCATAAAAAAACAAAGATTTTGCCTTTTTTTTTTTTTCGTTCTGTATCGTTGTGCTTTTTTTCGCGATTTTTAATGTTATCGAACGATCAAAAGTATACAAAGTAAATGCGCTTCCATATGACGCATCGTAAATTAGGAAATACAGCCCCTTAGATTAGGGAATATCGGCCCCTTTATTTCTAACGAGCGACAGTCGAAAGCTATGGATTAAGAAATGACGAAACAGTATGATCATAAATTATGATCAATTTAGAATAGTGCGTGAAATATTACAATCTATAGTACCCTGCTATACGAGCAATACACGTCTACAAAAATACCTTGCACCTGTAGTCGCAATTATTACCACAAAAGACACTTTCTTTGAATAGAAAAAAAAAATTCTCAATTTGATGTAACTGATATTCCGACTTACCTTTCCTTTACAAGTAATTGAAAAGCAAATGCGAATGTCAACGATAAACAACCACGAACGTTATTGACCAACTACGTCCTTCTAAAGAAAAGTTTTATCGACTGAAGGACATAATATTGTTTACCCACGAATTTCAATTTTATTTAAAGACGTTTTGAATTATTATGCATCTGCTTGAAATATTTTTATCACAAAAATATGAAATCTTCCTTGGTAAAACTTTTATAAAATTTTGGCCCAATTTAATTTTTTTTTAAATTGTTAATGACTTGATGTGCAAGGGGACGTACAATTTTCTTGATAACTTAACTGATCTGATTTGTTATCATGTAACGTCCAATAGCCTATTTTTTTCCATATGCTGTAAATATCATTCGCACTATGTTTGTACCTACCATCAAAATTACAATCTACGAAGGAGATACTTATTTTAGTTCAAAGCTAAGGTCAAGGGTCGTTAGAGATGATTATTGGATCTAGAAATTCGTAAGAATTCTTAAAAATTCATTTTTACTGAATTGACGTTTCCACGGCGTTTTTGTCCTAATTGCTTAATGAGGTCCCTTAGGATGATTGCTAACGTTCGGCAGAGATCTGCTGTAATCGTTGACACTTGGCGACAAATGTGAGAGTGGGAAAATGGTAACACTTGGAAAAAGCGATTGCCAGAGCATTCTAGCTTGGCAATTGCAGGGGATTCCTAATCATTCATTATTTTCTGGCATCATTACTCAATCAACATCTATTTCTCAGCCTTGTATGTCCTTATTTGATGTTTTGATAAGGCACTGAATTTAGGTAGAGATGTTTTTCAATAAGAAATTTTTTTTTCTCTTGAAAAGTCAGGAGTTTTCAGGACACGTCAACAGGTATCGAAATTGCTCATTTTTGTTCACCAAGAGCTAGCTAATTAAGAAACAAACGCTTTCAAATGTTAATGTTAAGACGCATCATGATTTTGTGGGTGGGAAGAACCAGGCTCTAAAAATAACATGTTGCTTTTAATTTTGTCACCAACAGCTCCTCGGCCAGGCTTCTCGCTCACCACAGTTTTCAAACGTATTTCAGATTTCCCAGCCTTACAAGGCTTCCTCGAGTCTCTACTCGACAGATATCGCTAACGTGAAAGAATTTTTTAAACTAATAACTTTTGTCTAAGTTAACATTGAGAATAATGGTTAAAAAAATTAGCAAAACAAAAACGATCGGAATAGGCCTAAAAACAAAAGCTCTGAATAATGAATGAAATGTAAGCATCAGTGTTTCATCAGTCAACTACCAGGATGTACGGTTCTGAAAGCGATTCCTTTAAATGGCTATGAAATGTCAAATTCTGTACTAATCCAACAAATCAACCAAATCTAAATATTTTTCCGTAACTATGAAAAAATTACATACCTTTGATAAGATAACCCACAGAGAATATTGGTATGAGACGAAGTGTGAAAGCTCAAATCCTGATGAATCTTAACATTGCTGTATTTGAATAAAACAACGAACATTTTAGGTTCGACAGAAAAGAAATGACATCGAACAGTGAAAGCTATGTGCAATGTTGAATAATTGTGTTACAAACCATTTCCTCTCACCTCCGCGACTACCTTGATATACGTCCCTTCACGCACTGATGCAGCCAACATCTAGTGCCTTGTGTGGGCGTCTATTCGTCATTAGATATTCCAGCCATCAATTACGTGCCCACTTACAAGTGAAGAAGTAATTATTCACACGGAATATTATTTGCTTAACCTGTCATTTGGAAATTATTTTGAAAGTCACACACTGTACGTGCTCCAAGTTAAGGGTTTTTCAATTGACGTCATACTTGTACGCTAGATTGCAGTCTTTTGAAAAGGTTATTACCAGG